CTCAGGCTCCTTTCAGAGGGGCCCTCCCTCCCAGCCAGAGCCCCTGCATGCACAGGTCCTCTGCCCCAAATACTCTCACCCCCACTTCCCTCCCCACCCTCTTCAACCCTTGGTGCCCCCTCTTCAGGGAAGCCTTCCTTGACTCCTCACACTAAGCCAAGCCCCCGGTATAAGAGCTCCCTCCTTAATGCTGGACTGGCAGGAAGTGATGGAGGATCCAGAAGAATTGATACCCATGGGTCAAAGCATTTCCAAAGAGCAAGCACATTCCTCATGTGCTTCCTGGTACCTCGCCCGACAGGCTGCTCACTCATCCTTGTGCTCTTCACAGGGCCTATCAGACACTGGGCCCTAGTGAGGAAGCCTCGGTGTGTTTCCAGCTTGCCCCACTAAGGTCAGGGAGGTCAAGGTCATGCTGACCTCAGTGGCCCGGAAAAGAACCTTCTCCTTTGTTCTGTTTACCTTGGTTGACTCACCTTGCTCGTATCAAGGAGAGTCAGTGTTTCCTTGTCGGTGTGGGTCTGGTCCTCGCTGTGGGCCACGGAAGGCAAAGCCCAATGCTCTCTGGGGAGCAGTGTCCTTCAGTCCAGATGCGGGGTATCAATTCCCAAATCAACCCTCAGTGAGCCTTGTCTCAGCTCTGCGTTTGGGGGTCCCCAGGCTCCAACAGGTCACTTCTGGCCGGTGGAGGCCTTGGGCTGGTTAGCAGAGTAATGGGAAGCCCTTGAAGAGCTGGAAGCACGGCCGTGATGAGATCTGTATTCCTAAGGGCTGTTCTGGCTCCCTGTGGACCAGGAGCAGGGGTAGTGCCACAAAGGCAAACATTGGAAGACCACCTGGAAGCTCCTGCAGGAGGGAAAATGTGAGGGTGGCTTAGAGAAATGTTTGCTGTCTCGCCATCTCTCTCTGTCTCTGTATTTATCGATGACCCTGTCTCACACCTGCAAACAGGCCCTTCTGTTTTTAATTAGCACCATGTCCTACAGCCAATCCTGGGTCCCAGCTGCTGGGTGTGTGTTGAAGTAGAGTATATGAGGTGTTATCCAAGGTGTCCCTTGAGAGAAACTTAACCGTGCAGGTGTTTGGACATTAAGTAGTTGCTAGCGAAGAGACTAAGCAAGCAAGACCGAGGGTAGGCATTATCATCTGGCCTTATATTGATACTAGAGGACTGGAGCACTAAATTTGTGCATGGGATGGGGGTTCCTCAGCCAGCTTGCACCCTCTCAAATCCAGGACCCTCAAGGGATGTCCGACTGCCAGTGTAGGCCTGATTACTTTGGGATTGGGCCTAAACAGGCAGTCACTAATTCCTCTCACAATCCAGGACTGCTCCTAACTGCTCACCTGTATGCCTGCTTGATTGCCCCTAACCACCTCTGCCTGCCTACCTGATGCCCCTAACAGCTACCCTGCTGGCCTGATTGCCCCTAACTGCTCTCCACTGCCAGCCTGATCATCCCCTAACTGCTCCCCGCTGCCAGCCTGATTGCCCCTAACCACCTCTGCCTATGCCCCTGCAACCATGGCTTTGTCTGGAAGGATGTCTGGAAGATGTCCGGAAGATATTCGGTTGTTGGGGTCCAGCACCAGCAGGTCCGGGGGTTCCCAAAGGTGTGGACGGAGTCGGCAAAGAAGAAATGACACAGAGGCAGTTTTCAGTTGATCAGCATAGCCAGGTTCTCCAGCCAGGTTCTGTCTTTATTCTCCTGTTAAATCTGTATTTATACCATTTGATTTTAATCCTATCCATTCTATTCCAAACGTTAGGGCATTTGTTATCTTCACTACAAGGTCACTACTCTACTGTTCTGTTAAGCTACAAGGAAGTAAGGAGATTATCCTAAGTAAAGATGATGCAGGGAGTAAAGATTATGTAGCTTAAGCATGATTGTTCGTAGTTAAGGTGATTAATTACCCGCCTGGCACTTAGTTAAGAGGTGTTGTTCCCTCCCTAACTTCAGGGTAAAATCCCTACCTGGGGAAACAACCTTTCTCGGAGAGGTGACCTTGGTTAAAACACATAGCGCCAAGAAGGTGAGCAAACATTAAGAACAGTATGTCATATCCGCCAGGTCCCTTGAAACATATGCTGTGCAGATGTTTCTTCCCTGCAGCAACTGTGTCAAGCAGCAAGGGTGGACTGGCTTCCGGCATTCGGTCTAATTTGCATATTACCCTTTTATTAGTATAGATAGTTAAGGTTGCCGGAGGAATGACGCCACACAAAAATATGCAGTTGCAAATCACACAGCACACTTTATTACTCACAAGTTCCTGGTGCCATGGGCTCAGACTTAACTGGGTCCTGGGGGAGAGTGGCATCCTCTGCAGGCAGCAGTGGATCCCTCTTTGGGTGGCTGCCATCTGGTTGGGTTGAGTCAGCGGGAGGATATCGACCGAAGTCTCGAGGTTCGGCTGTTCTTCTGGTGTCTGGCGTGGAGCAAGGCAGTGTGGAGCGTGGATCAAGAGGATGATCCATGTCTGAAGCCGGGGACCCGTTTTTAAGCCTGTTCTGGCCCATGACAGCCCAGGGGGCTATCAGTAACATATGTCATCACACAAGTAGCATGATTGTTCGTAGTTAAGGTGATTAACTACCGGCCTGGTACTCAGTAAAGGGGTTTTATTGATTTATTCCCTTCCTTAGTCCTGTTAATCCCTAACTCCAGGGGAAAATCCCTGCCTGGGGAAACAACCTTTCTCAGGGAGGTGGTCCTGGTTAAAACACATAGCACTGAGAGTGGGAACAAACATATGCCATATATGCCAGGCGGTCATTCCCAGTGCTCTTTAATATTTCACACAACTATTTCACAAAAAATAAATTTTCTCTAAATTAATTTGTTACTAAGACAGTGAGGAAGCCAGCTGTGTTCAGCCCAAGCCACCTGTACAGAAGCTTCCCCCTGGTGTCCTGGTGGAACACCTGATGGAGCTTACCGGACACCGAGGTCTCAGGGACTTGACTGGATGGGAGAGTGGGAGCCCAGTGAGCGAGCAGGAGGAACAATGGAAGATTTGTTCCAGCTAGGGCTTGGCCAGAGTGGTCATTCCCAGTGCTCTTTAATATTTCACACAAGTATTTCACAAAAAATAATTTTTCTCTAAATTAATTTGTTACTAAGACAGCGAGGAAGCCAGCTGTGTTCAGCCCAAGCCACCTACAGAAGCTTCCCCCTGGTGTCCTGGTGGAGCTTACGGGGCACCGAGGTCTCAGGGACTTGACTGGATGGGAGAGTGGGAGCCCAGTGAGAGAGCGGGAGAAACAATGAAAGATTTGCTCCTTGAGTTCCTGAAGGACAGGCTCATGGGAAAGGGAAGCCAGGCACCCAGAGCCCAGATGAACCCCTTAATCCACACCACAAAGGCTCAGTGTACCAGTCCATCTTATTTAACCAAAGTCTACAGAACACAAGGTGGGAGAAACAGAGGGTCTAGAATATCATCCTGTCCACACCACCTCCCCCACTGATGGAGAGGCTGTGCCTCAGGGCCCGATTGCTATATCTCCTTGACCTGCTGCAAGTATCTGCTTTCTTTTTTCATTTCTTTTCTTTTTTTTTTTTTCAAACCAACCACTGCTGCCCAGGCACCCAGAGCCCAGATGAGCCCACTAATCGACACCACAAAGGCTCAGTGTACCGTCCATCTTATTGAACCAAAGTCTACAGAACACAAGGTTGGGAGAAACAGATGGTCTAGAATATCATCGTGTCCACACCACCTCCCCTAATGATGAGAGGCTGTGTCTCAGGGCTGGTTGGTAGATCTCCTTGACCTGCTGTGAGTATCTGCTTTCGCTTTTCTTTTTTTTTTCAAATCAACCACTGTTCTAAGAGCATTTGCAGTTTCATTGTAATTTCATTGGTCTCTCAGAGCATCCTGGCCCCAATGAGCACCAGCAACTTGTCAAATGTTCTACCCACTCCGCTGTCATCACCACCCCCATCACGGCCCCCATCATCATCACCATCATTATTGTCATCAAGAAGTCACTGCCTATAGTGGATAACATTGTAATAACTATGAATTATGCCATATGTCTGCTAGACTTAGTGGGTGATCACTTTCTAATCACTATATTGCACACCCAAAACTAATATAATATAGCATGTCAAATGTAATTGAAAAATTTAAAAAAAATGTTTTTTTTATGCCTACCTAAGATGTCCTGCTGGAAGACAAAGGCGAGCTTGAACTGAAAGCAGGGCTAGAGACCAGGACCAGGGAGAGACAGGGTTCCTGCTGGGATGATAAACCCTGGGGAGGACCAATTAAGGAGCCACTGTAACTTCCATATCCCAACAACTCAAACTCTTTCATCTTCTACCATTGTCAACTTTTTAGTAATTTGAGCCTTCTCGGTGCTCATTCCTCCACTTCTCTTACTTTATTCATGACCCCAATGTCTTTTTTTAGTCAAAATAAAGTTCCTCCGACCCCCCACTCTCTTGTCCCCTCTCTTCCCTGATTCTGGGCTCCAGGTTCCTTCCTTCTCTTTGACCCACCTGCCATTTTCAGGAAACCCTCCTTCACCGTGCTCAGCTATAGAAATACCAAACTCCTTAACCTGAAGGTCCATCCATTTAATCTCGCCAGCTTCCCCCCTCTAACAAGGTAAGTCCACGCCTTTGTCTCCCACACACCCTGCTCCCTGTACTGTCTGGGGATCATGGAGTTAGGTCCTCCTGTAGACTTTCATGAATGCAGGTGAGTTCTTCCAACCTCCTCTCTAGCTCTTGGGCCTCCTGCCTCAACTCTTTAGCTGACCGAGCCTTTGCGCCCTCATGTAAGTGCTTTGACTCTTTCACCAGATCCACTACATCCAAAATAAGGAATACACCTGCCGTGGCTGCACCAAAGACCCTGGCTCCTTTGCTCATGGCCAGAACAGTGCCTCTAAAAACTTTCTGCACCTCCTTGCCGCTTTGGGCTGAGACTGCCCCCATGCGCAAGAAGCGCGTGGCCTTGGCTGCTAAGACCGGATTGGCTTTGGCCACCCTGAAGGCACGGGAATTCTTCACAATGACTTTCAGGGATCGAGAACACTTCCATTTTAAGTAATAAATTTTGAGTTTGCTGCGAAATAGAAGCTCCCTGACCATCTTCTCTGTGTCATTACCGGTTGACAATAGGCGGCTGGCTTCAGCTTTTGCTGATGTATTCTTTGCGTCTTCCACGATGCTGGTGGCCACATGGGTCACAGCAGCTGCTGCCCCCAGTCCCGCCCCAGTTACCAAAAGCAGCAGACTAGCCCCTGCTGTGAATGGTGCCAAAGCCAGGCTACTGATGGTCAGAATGCCAGACACAGCGCCGGTGGAAGAGGCCGCCACTTGGGTGATGGTGCAGTCCCTGTGAACCTTGTCCACCTCATCAGCAAGTGCGTAGAGCTTTCCTATGCGTTCTTCAAGGTTCTGTTTCACCTGAGGAAATTCCTTCATAAAGCTCTCCACATACGGCTGGTCTGCTGAGGGCATGTCTTCGTCCTCCTCGGCCATGAGTGTTTCCAGCTCGTGCAAGTCTGCATAGAGTGCATCTGCCTCATCCCTGCAATCATGAAGGACAGGTGATTAACGAAGGCAGGGGTATGAATCGCTAAGGCTGAGACCCTGACTGGATGAGCTGGTGTGGGAAACCCTGTCCTCTATGGTGGGAACATGTGCGTCTACTCGGAATCCCTCAGATTACACCACATTGGTAGCCCCCATTCTGACTGGAAGCGGTCACTAAGCCTCACTTCCCTCTGGTCAGGGTTACTCCATGGAGAAGAGAAGAGGGTCTCAAAGGGAGGTCAGAAGCCCTCCAGCTGGCAGACAGGGTTGGAGGACATAATCACCCAGGGCCCTCTACCCCCAGGAGTGAGGGGATCAAGTCAGGGAAGGAAAAAATGTCCGCGCCCCACACGCCTGAACGGCCCTCCACTAGGACCCTGGCCTCCTCAGTCCTGTGCCCAGGTGCCTCAGCTGCCTCACTAGTTCCAGCCTCACTGCCAAGCCTTCCTACCATCCTCCCACCTGGACCACCCTTGCTCCATCCAGACCCCGGGCACTGACCCTGCTCCAGGCCTGTCTGGGCCTCAGGACAGGATGACTGCACCTGCTTCCTCAGCCTTGACCCTGCAGTTCACCCCAAGGCCTTCACCATAGTCCCATCAGACAGACTTGCAATTCCATTTAAGTGGGAGATGACATAAGCCCAGAGCCCCAGTATCCAGATAGAGTCAGGATTCAGCCCAACATGGTGCAGCTTCACTCCAGCTCTCCCCCTTCCAGGCCTGCAGGACCCTGCAGAGTTTGTACTATCCCTTTCTTAGGGAGAGCAGGCTTTCTAGCCACAATCCCCAGGGACACAAACTGTGCCAGGAATTTTCAGGCTTGTCCCAAAAGGACGTCCTGTGTGGCTCTCACATCCAACAGGAAGAAGGTTGGGCCCTGTCTATTCCCAGCATCTTTTTTAAAGTTAATGTCAACAGCCCACCTACTATGTGTCAGTCATTAGGCTAAACAGTTTACACACATTATCTTATTTTCCTCAGAATGAAATGGAACAGATGACTAAGACAGAGAGTGGTTAAATAACAGGCCCAAGGTCATGTAACCTTCCCCCTGCAGGCCTCATCTCTTCTCAACCTGAGGCCCTGCTCTGCCAATGAATGATATGAAGGAAATGTTCTCATGGACTGTTGAGAAGGAACTTCTTCAACCCCAAGCACAGAACCCTGCCCTGAGGAGTGTGCCTGCCAGAGGAATCTAGATGCAGGGAAGATGGGGGGACAATGCAGGCATCTCCAGGAAGTTACCTGGACAGCTCGGCCGCAGCCACAAATCTCTCCCAGGAATCATCACTCAGCAGGTGTTGAAGTTTCTCTTTGTTCCTTGGGTCCATTAAATACTCAATGACATCAACAAAAATTTTGCCCTCTAGATTCAAAGAAAAAAGAATGAGGTTAGAAGAAATCCTGGTAGAATGGAAATGGAATTGAGTATAAACAAGGTGGTTAAATGTTCATCTTCCTGAGCAGCTGTCACCTGGGGGACTTTTAAAAAAAATCTGGGGATCTTTAGGTGAATCACTTGGTGTTATGGACTGAACTATCTCCCCAATTTATATATTGCAGGCCTGACACCCCATGTGGCTGTACTTATTTTTTTTAAATATGTTTTATTGCTTTTTAGAGAGGAAAGGAGAAGTACAGAGATGGAAACATTGAAAAAGCATCAATCAGTTGCCTCCTGCATCCTCACTACTGGAGTTTGAACCCGCAACAGAGGCATGTGCCCTGACTGGGAATCGAACCAGTGACCTCTTGGTTCATGGGTCAACACTCAACCACTGAGCCACAATGGCCAGGCCCCATGTGACTGTATTTTATAATTAGGGTTAAATGAGGTCATAAGTGTGGGACCTAAGCCAATATGAATGATGTCCTTATGAGAATGGGCAGAGACACCAGTTCTCTGCTTCCCCCACTTCTTTCTATTTCTCTCTCTCTTTCTCTCTCTCTCTTTATAAATCAATAACTTTTATAAATCTTTTAAAAGTTGTGTGACTCTCAGGGATTTGAAAGACTCTGGAAATGCAGATAAGGGACTGGGGACTGGTGTATGCTTTGTGTGCACAGAGACATAATATAAATGTGTTTCCTGCCATATGCACACAAGACGTATTATTCGTATTTCACAGACAAAGAAAGCAAAACTCAGACAGGAAAAGAAGGCCCAAGCCAAGAAGCAGAAAGCTCACAGGTGGCATCCAAGGCAAACCATCAGACATTTCCTTACATTAGTTAGAAGCCTCCTTATAGTTTGAAAATTCATGTGATTTCTGTGTTCTCCCCTATAGTTCACCTATAGGATTTTTTAAAATTTAAAAGTAATGTTTCATTCCACACAACACTGATGGAGTAAAGCTACCAGCAAAGAAGATTCCTCCTGCTTCTCACAGGTGCTCCAAGGTGGCAGTGGAGGGGTGTCTTCAGGTGGGTAAGGGTGGGAGCCTCAGCTCTAATCCTGTGATCAATCAGTATCAGCTCTCCCCCCTCCAGGCTGGTCTCAGGGGCCACATCTCCCTGTGGGCACCTCTGACCCCACCCTCACACACCTCTTAAACAAGAGGTCATCTTGTTTATCCTCAGGAATCCACCAGCTCCAGCCTCCCTCGGGGACCTGGGAGACTGCTCAGGAACTGCAGGTTTCTGATCTGTCCTCTCCTCCCTTATGCTGCAAACTGGACAGGGATTTTCCTGTCCTGGGGGGACGGGGGTGACTTGGTTGTCCAGGCAACACAATGTTGAGTTGGGTGGGTAGAGGATTGTTTTTTCCTTTTCTTGCTTCCTCCACTGAAGGAGAAAGGAAATCTGGGTTTGGATGGAGGGAACCCAGAGCACTATATGTGTGCATTTGTGGGCTAGAATGTGGGTGGATATGGGGAATAACAAAGCGGGCCTCTGCAGGGGTGCCTGAGACAGTCACACCTGGTACACAGCCATTTATAATTGGGAGCACAGGTCAGGGACCCAGCACATCTGTGGGAGGTGGCAGTTCTTTGGAGGCAAAGGTTTCCACCAGGAACTGGCAGGTTCCAGGTACAGTGAACAAGAAATTCCCACCTCCCATGGGCTGTCCTGGCCTCGTTGCAGTCATTGCATGAGTTGCAGAGGATGGGAGGCAGTGAGCAGCCTTAGGAGAGAGCCAAGAAGGAGGCCCTCCCACTGACTCCTGGTTGAGGGGACTCCCCTTGGTCCATCATGGGGGTTCGAGGACACTCATCAATCCCCTTGGAGGTTCTTGATTCCTATGTAGCTTAACCCAGCCTGGAGATGCTTCCCTCAATTCTAGATCATAAGCAGGAACCAGCTAGAGAGGAGGAAGCTGACTTACCTGGGCAGATCCCGTCAGCTTCTGAGGTCATGGTGTCAGCACTGGGATCTCCCCTTGTCCTGTGGGGGCAGAAGGAGAAGACCATCAGACAAGGAAACACACAGCTGAGGAGTCATAAAACCAAAGAAGCAGTAACACCAGACACAGAAGGAAAGATGGGAAGGAATGTTTTGGAAATGACTTGAGGTGGGGACATGTGTGTTGACTAATCACTCAGCTAATATTGATGGTGTGTCTACCACAGGCTCCTTACGAGTTTCCTCACCAAATACTCTCACAGATTCCACGTGGTGGGCGCCATGGCGGCTCCCATTGGAACGTGGGGGAAACCATCACAAAGTCTAGGTTTTCACCTGAACTCGGGTTAGCCCAAATCTCACAGTAGTGCTAGAGCTAGGACTCCAGCCCAAGTCTTCCTGATCCCAATCCCGTGTTTGTGAGGACTACACTTGACTCTCTTTTATGTACAAAAACATTTATTCATGTGTCTGTGTTACTTGTAAATGACTTTTCTCATTCCCAAATGATGTCTTGCACCCTATGCCCCGTCTCCGTGTTGATAAATTCCTGGGTCTGCAGCTTCCCAATCCTGCACCCTTCTTGCTTCTAACACCCGCATCCCCTCAGGCCCTGGGGTGCTGAGGCCCTGGCTCAAGCCCTGCAGCCCTGACTGGCCTGCAGACCCTCCCCCTGGCCAGCCTCCCCACTCCCCTACTCCGCCATGGCAATGAGAGGTGGGACAGGCCAGCCAACCTCCCGCAGCCCCTCCCCCCACCCAGCCCCACACCAGATCAGCCCTCTCCTGCAACCTGATCAGGGGCAGGGCTTTGCTGGCCAACCCCCATGGCCCTCCCCAGGCCACTGGCCCCAGGTTGGCACCCCCCACCCCATTCAGGGCCAGGGCCCACTGATCCAACTCCCACAGCCTCTCCCCATGGCTGGCCTGTCCCCAATGAGTCCCCCAACTTTAATCCAGTGCTGGGCTTACTGGCCAATCACCCGCCGCCCCTCCACCTATCTGGCTCTGCCGTGATTGGGCCCTGATTGGGCAGGCTGACTGGCCAACCTCTTGCCATCTTCTCCTCTGGACAGGCCCAGCCCTGATCTGCCCCAGTTGGCGTCGGGCCTCCAGGACCCCACCCATGCATGAATTGGTGCATTGGCCCTCTAGTATTTTTATATATGAGGAGAAAGAGGAAGAGAGGAATGTGTAAAACATGGGTCCCTGGGAAAATCTGATTCTGATGCCTGGCCTT